ATAAGTTGAAAGCTTTATAAATTTAGATTAGTTACTCATCTGGTGGAGTTAGCCGATATGACTTCAACTTTCAGGTTTCCTTTCTACTATCATATGAAGTTTGCATTTCTTGTGTGGCTTCAACTGCCATCTGTTGATGTAAGCTTTGCTGGTGCTTTCAGTTTTTAGTTGCAATATTAATGTTTTCCCTTTACCACATATTTTTACTTGAATTGAATAATATATCTGCAATAGATTTTGCTGTTTACCATGTTCAGCAATGGACATCTATTGATGTTGGGCAATGGAATTATCTTTATCCTAGCATGCAGATGGCGTTTCTATTTACTAATAAGCCAATCAAAATGATGCAAGTTTTGGTTTCTTATGATGTTTTGGCATAGAATTTGACCATCTTGGGATAAGGCTTACAGATGTTCCTTGGTTTCTGTGGTAATCACATATTTATTATCAAATTTGAGTCGGAAGTTGCTAATTCTATCCAGAAGACTGTGATTCCATGACTTGAACCTGTTTTTAGTTTATTCAATCGATTAGACCATGCTGCCCTTTGCATTTCCAAATTTCTGATTTTATCGGTGTTGAAGGGTTTAATTTTCTATAGTCTGCAAAGCTGTTGTTCACATTGAAAGTTTGCTTGCTGTAGTTTAATACAAAAATTTAGCTGATTGGTTTAGGACCAGTGCAAATTGTGAATTATATATGGTGATTTGGTAATTGAGAAGTGAATGTTCAGATACCAAATGTGGTGCTAGTCTCTTAGTCATTGTTTTCTAACCCGGGAATTATAACCTGGGAATTAGACATTGAATATTTCCTTTTGCTAGCCCAAAATTGAATAATAACAGATCATGTAATGGACCAAAGTGATTATTTTTAGCATTATAAGATTATTCTTTAGACATTGGTGTGTGCGACTGCACCATTCTATTTGCAGGTTTTACTGAAACATAATGCACTTCCACTTTTTGCAGGGAGCAAGGCAATTTTATATTAATCTCCTGCGCCCTTTTCTCCGAAGGCATCAACACAGACTTGATCAACTTGTGGGTTTCTTCTATGACAAAATGGTAAATACCTTATCCTGTATGTTTATATGGCAGAAATGTTTATTCAATCCTACCTCAGAATGTTGTTGAAGAGAGTTCACCCCCCCCACCCCCCCCCCCAAATTTAAAACTTTATTTTCCCCCCCCCCCCACCCCCCCAACCCCCCCCCCCCCCACCCCCCAAGTTCCATTTGCTAAATATAGTCTTCAAGGCAAACCTCTCTCTATCACAGGACTTTTTCATTTGGATTGATGGGGATGAGTTCCACCAGCTTTTCTCATTTTCATTTCTTTTTTTAGTGGGGTGGACGAGTCTTGTACAGGTGCATCATGATCCCCATTTCATCCAACTATGATAGCATGGACTTAAATAAAATTTTATTTCCCATCCATACACCTACCATTGACCGCACATGAAGCCTGGCCAAAGAAGAAGGAAAGGAAAAGAAACTACTTAATGTTGGGTTACCCAAAAGAGTAATGCTAAATAAATAAATAGACCTCCAAAATCTGAAATTTTATTCGTGCTTTGATTTGCAGGCTAAATTTGTCAGTACCCGTCATACAGAAATAGAGTTTACGAGGACGTTTCTTATGAAGATTTTAGAGTCAGGTAGTGATTTAAACACGATAACAACTCTTATGATTTGATTGTACTTTACATGACATTTGATAAGTTTATTTTGAAAATCTGTTCTCTCTATAATCTTCAGTCTGTTACATTATTATTACAAATTGATAGTTTATTTCCTTTCCCTGTTGATCAGCTAGCCATATGGTTCAAAATATTAACCCATGGAAAAGGCAAATAAATGGTGCTGCTATCGAAGGCCCTCCAGAGCATGTAGAGACTTCAGAATCAGAAGATGAAGAATAACGACCGCCTTATAACTAGGAGATGCCAGGTGATTTGATAGATGACAGAGAACAAGAATGACAAATGCAACTACTCCGTGAGATTTCAATCAGTCTAGGAATCATTTTTGCTTTGTTGTAGCTTTCCTTGTTGGAAAAATCCATTTNATTTCATCCAACTATGATAGCATGGACTTAAATAAAATTTTATTTCCCATCCATACACCTACCATTGACCGCACATGAAGCCTGGCCAAAGAAGAAGGAAAGGAAAAGAAACTACTTAATGTTGGGTTACCCAAAAGAGTAATGCTAAATAAATAAATAGACCTCCAAAATCTGAAATTTTATTCGTGCTTTGATTTGCAGGCTAAATTTGTCAGTACCCGTCATACAGAAATAGAGTTTACGAGGACGTTTCTTATGAAGATTTTAGAGTCAGGTAGTGATTTAAACACGATAACAACTCTTATGATTTGATTGTACTTTACATGACATTTGATAAGTTTATTTTGAAAATCTGTTCTCTCTATAATCTTCAGTCTGTACATTATTATTACAAATTGATAGTTTATTTCCTTTCCCTGTTGATCAGCTAGCCATATGGTTCAAAATATTAACCCATGGAAAAGGCAAATAAATGGTGCTGCTATCGAAGGCCCTCCAGAGCATGTAGAGACTTCAGAATCAGAAGATGAAGAATAACGACCGCCTTATAACTAGGAGATGCCAGGTGATTTGATAGATGACAGAGAACAAGAATGACAAATGCAACTACTCCGTGAGATTTCAATCAGTCTAGGAATCATTTTTGCTTTGTTGTAGCTTTCCTTGTTGGAAAAATCCATTTTTACAGAAATTCACCAGAATACTAATAATGAGTGGGCCCCACCATGTATTAAAAAAACAAAAAATAATGTGCGGGACCCACATGTGTCTGTTTTCTGTCAAAATGGCTTCTGTGCATGGAGCACTGCTGTTCCTTGTATTGTTCTTCTAGGGATTTGTACATGAGTCTCTCGTTTGTATACTCGGGACGCCTTGTGGTAATCTATACCAGTTACAGTTGTGACATGTTTATGCATATTGTAGTAGATAGGTGAGGAAGTAGCTGAGAAACAAGAAATTAAAATCTTGTCCGAAGTCTTATATGGTACTATATATCATTGTCTATCAAGGGAAGAAGAATCACCATTCCTAGTACGTTCTTGAAAGTAGTCAGCATGTTAGGCATAATATAGATTCTTTAGGGGTGCCAAATTGGCTATCTAGGTGTAACCCACTAATAATTTGTCAAATTTCAAATTTGATCTACTAAAGGGATAGTTGATGCAGCTTTTTTTAATAATAATAAATAGTTTACTTTGATAAAAGTTTATAAATACCTGATTGTAAAGTTGATAAAATTGTGGATTTCATATAATAATAAGGTTTAAATACATTACTTTTATTAAAGTGTAACTGAAATAGAAATTATAATTTTTATATATAGCCCCTGTTTGTTTCTCATTTTTCATCCATAAAAATGAAAAATATGGTTGTTATTCATCAGATCAGGCCATTAATTTTGAATTTCTATCTCACTCACCAAAAAGGCGGGAAAATATTTTCATCAAAAAGCCGGAAAATGCACACGTGTGGGCTAAACCCGGAAAATATTTTCCGTGGAAAATTTCGCCTATCAAACAGCCAAAAAAGTGGAAAGTGGAAAATATTTTCCTAGTTGCCTGGAAATAAGGCGTATCAAACACGCCCTTATTAAAATGTAACTGAAATAGAAATTATAATTTTTATATATAGCCCCCGTTTGTATCTCATTTTTCATCCATAAAAATGAAAAATATGGTTGTTATTCATCAGATCAGGCCATTAATTTTGAATTTCTATCTCTTGTGTGGGATTTAATAACGATTATATTCTTCATTATCATTCTACAATAATGAGAATTAAATATACATATACATTAGCTAATTTTTCAAATTCGATATGTTCGGACCTCCATTTAGTTTTGTCGAATTCTCGTTCCATATAGACACTCAAGTTTTGATCCATAAACAGTGACAATTGTTTGCTATATAATTGAAAGGCTGAGAAATAAATATGTTAAAAGAAAAAGTTGAGGGTAAATATGTTATAATTTTCAAAGATGAGGACGAAAAGTGAAAATTTTCCAACATTTATTGTGGTGAAAGCTTCAAAGTCTACTCTTCCTGCGTTTAAAATGACGTCGCTTTTAGGCAAACAGTTCTCTTCGAAAAGTCTCACTGCCCAAGGAACGAAGTTGTGATATTATTCTTCTTCTAAATGCCAGTGATATTAGTGAATAAACATCAGTAGCGATCAATCTGGAAGAAAAATGATTGCGTTGATGAGAAGAGACAGCGGCCAATCCATCCGAAGATCCAGGATAGCCGCCGCAATCGCCGTTGGAATATTCCTTGGCTGCGTCTTCGCCTTCTTCAACCCTGACGGATTCTTCGCTTCCACGCCTCCCACTCACCACTCCATTGACATTTCAAATTCAGAGGTTTTATACCAATTTCTTAATTTATGTGTTTTTTATTCTCCGTTGAGTTCAAAATTTTATGTTTTGACTTTCAGAATTGAGTCGTTGATGCACTCAAATCCCATGAATTAATCTAATGGAATCCAAATATATATTGTACTTGTAATGGTAATACACTTTCACAAAGTATACAGAATGAATTTTAGAAATTTAATGTTGTGACTTAAAAAATGAAATTGCTTTGCATTCATGGCATGTTTTCTTTTGTAACTATATGTGATTTGTGTAAATTCATTCATATTGTTTAGGGGTAGGGAGTGATTTACATGAATTGATGCCCTTTAGCTTTTAATATCTTTTGCATGTATATAGTAGTGTTCTTGGTAGTTCAATATTGATACTCAGAATTGTTTACATAGAAGAAGAATTAACAGTTTTTCAAAGAAATGAAGTGAAATTTTGGAACCTCTAAGTATGGGATATGATCACAAGTCATAAGTTTGTATATGAGAAACTATACATTGCTGAACAATATTAAGGTAGTCTTTAATATTAACGGACCGAAGAGTGAAGATAAAATTTGAATGCTCCTAATTACTACTTGAATGAAATAGTGCAGCATTTGGTATGAGGAACGCTGTTACGGTATTGAATTTGGTAGCATACGATCTTTTTTCTTGTTAAATAAAATCTTAATAGCAATATTGACAAGTACGTGTGGAGGGAACATAAGCCTAGCCTCACTTAAGATGAAGAAATATTAGACCAAAATAAAGTTATCTTATAAACGTCTTTTGATGAATGATTGTGCCTATGTCTTCCAACTTTTGGTTTTATATATATATATGTATATATATATATATATCATTGTGTGCAGAAACTATTATGCCAAATTGGGGGAAACTTGATGCATAAATGTTTGGCCATAAACTTAATTTTTCCATTAACTTTGTGTTTATTAGGTTGCTTCCTCATCATGCGAGTCATCAGAACGCATTAACATGTTAAAATCGGAGTTTATAACTGCTTCGAATAAGAATGCAGAGTTGAAAAAGCAAGTACGGGAATTGACTGAGAAGCTTCAGTTGGCTGAACAAAGGAAAGATAATGCACAGAAAGAGGTGCTGGTGTTGGGTGAGCAGCAGAAGGCCGGGCCTTTTGGCACCGTTAAGGGTGTACGAACCCACCCTAACATCGTACCTGATGAGTCGGTCAACCCAAGACTGGCCAAGATATTGGAGAAAGTTGCTGTCAAGCGAGAACTTATTGTTGCGCTGGCAAATTCAAACGTAAGGGATATGTTGGAGGTTTGGTTCACAAATATCAAGAGAGTGGGTATACCTAATTATTTGGTTGTTGCTTTGGATGATGATATTGCCAATTTGTGCCACTCAAAAGATGTTCCAGTGTATAAACAAGACGCGGCTGAAGGAATAGATTCCATAGCGAGGTCCGGAGGAAATCACGTAGTCTCGGGGTTGAAATTCCGGGTCTTGAGGGAGTTCTTGCAGCTAGGTTATAGCGTTCTTCTCTCAGATGTTGACATAGTGTACTTGCAAAACCCTTTTGATCATCTTTACAGAGACTCAGATGTGGAATCCATGACTGACGGTCACAATAATATGACAGCTTATGGCTTCAATGATGTTTTCGATGAACCTCAAATGGGTTGGGCAAGATTTGCACATACAATGAGGATATGGGTTTACAATTCCGGGTTCTTTTACATAAGGCCAACAATCCCTTCAATAGAGCTTTTAGATCGTGTAGCTGGTCGACTCTCGAGAGAGAATGCTTGGGACCAAGCAGTCTTCAATGAGGAGCTTTTCTTCCCATCACATCCTGGCTATGATGGACTTCATGCTTCTCGAAGAACTATGGATTACTATCTCTTCATGAACAGCAAGGTTCTTTTCAAGACTGTACGGAAAGACTCTACACTCAGCAAGCTTAAGCCGGTAATAGTACATGTAAATTATCACCCCGATAAGTTCCCGAGAATGAAAGCAATTGTGGATTACTATGTTAATGGGAATCAAGATGCTTTGAAACCTTTCCCAGATGGTTCAGAATGGTGAGTTCTTTTGTCTTTTTTATTTTTATTGGGTTTTTTCATTCCAAATGCGTGTAAAAGACTTGTAAGAAGAACTAAAGCACTTGGGTCCTCACAGTAATGAGTTATACTTTCGTTCTAAAAGGAATTTTCTTGGTCTACCTGAGAATTGTGTAATTTGCTACATAGGTTTCTTATTGTGAACAAGGCTTAATTTGTTGTAGTGTAGCTTTTTTTGCTATTAGTGCTTACCATTCTAATTTTTGTAGTTTTAAGTTTTGCAGGCATAGGCTGATAAAATTGTATGGAGGAAAATACAGGCACATTAAAGTGTCAAGTCAACAGTAATGTAGAAGATAATTATTTTATACGAGATTATCTACTAACATTTAAACTTGATTCAGCTCTATATTTTAAGTTCAAAACAAAAATCCCGAATACTTGAGCGGAATGCAGTAGCACAAGTACTAACGATTTCAATATGGCAGACATTACATGTTATCGCTACTCCACTCCCATATAGACTCGTAATGGTGTTCTAACTCGACATCCCTCAAACTAGAATCTCTTCTTCTAAAGATTGCAATTTGGGAAGCAAATCCAGGTTCCACATCAGCTTTTCCGCCAACTCCGCTGAATTCAACGTCGTAGTTATGTCTTGCAGCAAGGTCGGATGCCCAATGATTGAACTGTGCCCTGGTCCATTCAAATTTGTGGTCATGGTTGCGGAATTTAGGTTGGTTCTTTTCATCTGGATCATCCTCTTGACCTGAGGAAGTTGATTTCTGCAGAATCGTGTTGTATTCATAATTCGGGGTGGAGACAATAAGAATCCTAGGACAAAAAGACTCAAGCACGACATCACCAAATAAACTCGCATCTTCTTCCTCCATATGTTCGATGACCTATCGTTCATCCAAATGTCATATTTCAACCCATCAATTAAACAAGACAGTAAAGTAGCATGGAAAATTACAGGTAAAATAAACATCAAAATATGTATTCAGCTGATTATCGAAGAATGGCGGAGATAACAAAAACGCCAGCCTCAATTTATTGCAAAACTGATTACCCTAAAATGGTAAACACCAAGTAATCAAGACATGCGAGAAGAGAAGTTACCGTGAAAAACAATCAGTTGAAGTGAACTAGTGAAATTAGAATGAAGAAGACATTACCTCCAAGCAAGTTCCGATATCAAATCCATACAACCGAGAATCAAAATTTGTGACAGATCCCTTGTAAAGCAGCACAGATTTGGTATCATTACTTGGTACCTCAGCAGAAGAATTTCTGTTCAGTTTTGGGTGAAGCGTCTAGACAGATACGAGAAAAACGTTTTTTAGCTTCCAAGTATTAATGCTTAGAAGGATAATGAACACTACAAAGAAGTTGCTTGAATCAATCATAAATATCACAAAGATTACAGGAATTTAGTCTATCATATGTGAAGTTCCATTCACACAATATACAAAATTAAAATGCCTTGTCAAAAACTGAAAGCAACTGCAATTTTAAAAGGCACCCCTCACAATTTATGCCACGCTCCGTAAACTTGGAACAAGCTAGGGTCCTTTGGGGATAATTAATCAAAGTTTCGATGATTGTAGGGACAAGACACAAATATTTGACAAGTAGAATGCTATAAATTAATGCAAATTCCTCAACAATTACTACAATAGTTTCTCAGTTCCTATAATGATATACAAAGACAATAGAATAAACGTTCTGCACCCCATTATCCGGTTTCTAACTGTTGAATAAAATATAACTTTAGATTGGTTAATTAATAACATAATCTATTTATCATTCAGGTCTAGCCATTCAGCCATGTTTTTAACTATTGCAGCCAATGGCAAGCTGCTCAGATACTGCAAATTACACCAAGGGGTTCATTATTTGCACCCCTCAGGCAATTAACCTTCCAACTAAATAGTCAGAATATGTATATTGAAAAAAAAAACATTAAAATTTAAGGATGATAGGGTTATAAAGGCTATATGAAAATGTGACCTTTGCCGCCCGTGCAAGACCTTTTCCTGAAATATCAACACCAGCAATCTTTTCCAGAGAAGTTGAGTAGTCTAATAAAGAATCGAGTAAACTTCCAGAGCCACAACCAAAATCAACCTGCAATGAAACTAAAGATTAATCGCAACTCTACATTAGACATCAGAGATCATTATGAATATATTTGCTTATACCAAAGAGGCAGCGCAAGATTCTCTGATATGTCGTACAGCAAACTCAACACGCTGCTTTGACAGAGATGGGCTGAACAAAGCTTGCTCCATCCTCTCTTCTAAGGGTTCTGTCACCTGCAATAGAGTTACAGCATACTCCAAAATACACCTTCCTACAAAAGATGAAGATAAAATGGAAGTGATACCAAGAAGTGCAATCAAATCAAGTAGAAATATGTGAAATTCTTACTCACTTGAAGACAATAGTGATAGAGTTGCAGCAGAATCAACAGCCGCTGCTAAAATAAATTCTTGGGGAGGCAACTCCACATTAAAAAATGCAGACTGACCAACTGACATCTGTGTCACAACTGCTTCAAGACGAGATATGACAGCTTCACTTCCTATTTCAAACTCATATGCCTCATTACTTTCGATATGTTCTTTCAAAAATTCTCCAGTAACCAAAGTAATGCTATAACTTACACATGCTAAAGAACCATTCGATGGGGTAATTCCGGAGTTATCACCGCATATAGAACATGCTTTATCACTCGCTACATCATTTAGTTGATTGATGCAACTATAATTTATTGGCTTGCTGGATTGATGCCTAGTGCTACCAAATTTATGAACAGACTGACACAAAACGAACTTTTTGTGAAAGATATCAGGAGAAAACTGAATTCCAAGTTTCTCTGCTGAAGAGGTCAATGTCTCTACGGCCATATCGGGTTTTTCAAAATACATGTTCAACCATAAAATGACTTTCAAAGCAGAACACTGCATGGCATCAGTTTGCTTCTTATAAGATTCTTTTGGTGAATACTGCAAAATCAATTCCCGACATTTGGAGAATATCTTTATTTCACATTTAAAATCTCCGATGGTTCCCGTTGATTTCCCACAAGTACTAGCCACTGAAGCTCCATTTGTATCTTTTTTAACAGACTCAAACTTCAACTTCTTACGGGATCCAGCTAAATCAATTGATGACTCGAACACAGGTTCAGATAAACGGTGCACACGGCAGAATGTACAGAGTATATCTCTTGGAAAGGAACCCCTCCAGTTGCTTCTCATTGTAAATGCCATGGGCAATTCTGCAGCAAGAATTGCATCTCTTGACAATTTGTATACTCCACTAGGCATCATATTGATGAGTAACCTAAATGGGAAAAAAACGACAGATGGGTGCAAATTTTGCGAACTTAATAATAACTGATGCAACGTAGAATATGAATTGCTATGAGAAATTAAAATAAGAAACTGAAAAGATGGATACAACGCCCCATGGCCCCCATCACATTGGTGAGTTGTGACAGGTGCCTGTCTACATGGTATAAAAAAGATTCCTATAGCTACCCGGGTATAAGCATCTTTGTCTAGGGGCTTAGGTCGCAAAAGGCAAGATCAGGTCTTTTGGTTGATATCAGAAGCAACCTACAGTGTTATTCACTTGGGTAGGTTGACCTTGAGCATTGGCCAGTAATCACATATTTCAGTGTGATAGCTTGGCATAGTTGCAAGGGAATTCTTTAAGTTGATTATGAAGACTTCATCGGCTATATTTAACACCTTGGGGTCAAGTATTTTAGGTCAAGGATCAAGATTCTAAGAAGTTATCAAGGCTATTAGGCCAATAGTTTCCACTGTAGTCAATTAAATAAGGTTGACAAGAAGTAATAGTGGAGGCCAAAGAAATACCTATAATATGTACGCAAGGTAACATCCTCATGGAAAAGATTACTAGACTTCCATGAATACCCTACAGCAGCCAAAATTGCATCACCAAACACTTCTTGCCCAGATAAGTAACTTGCCCTGGCATTTAAAGATCCTTTGTCATGACTGACAAGGTTCACATGAGGCTCTGACAATTGGTCCATCAGAAGGCACTCAGGAGCATTATAATATAATCTCATGTCCGAGGAAGCTTTGCCAATGGTCCTACAATATGAATAGTTAGATAAATAAGATAGGAATCGTCTGGTGCATGCACAAATCATATATGTTCATCCTTCTGTTATATGATAGTAACAAATGGAGATCTAAAGCAATTCCATCCAAATAATTCATTCAAACTTCACAGTAATCAATGTTCTCAGGTTCACCAGCAGCTAACAAACAACATGACTAGTAGGATAATTCATGCAATGGTATGACATCATAACATTAGTTTGACAAACTGTTGCAAATATATTCAAAACAGAAATGCATGCACTTTACTAGAGTTTATTCAGCCTCATACATCTCCAAAGTCATATTTATTCATATGACTTACTTATTCAATTTTGAACCACAGGTTACTCACATGCTTGCTGGAAAACAAATGCAATGTTACCCAGAACATCATGGGCAACCATTAACACACAGCGTTTGTAGAGCATCAACCATGCATAAAAAATGCAAAGCTAACCGTGTAAATGAAACATGCAACACAACAGAAACAACCAGCATAAAACCTATTCTAAGATGCAATAAAAAGATTTAACACGTCCTATATTCATTGAAAATCAACAGGGCAGTCTGGAATGGGATAAACAAGGATTAAGTAAAATATGTAATGGAGTCACCCATGCACACTTAGCTTACCTGGAAATGAAGACCTTGGAAGCCTCATTCACGCCCAGTTCTTGTGCAATAACATCCACATAATAACCGTTTGCAGAAATGGTAAGAACCAAGGTTTCAACAGTTTTCTCTACCGAAGATGGGATTCGTATAACTTCTATAGACGAGTTTTCTGACAATATAGATTCCTGGTTTACCAAAGCGTGTATTATCTCAGGAAGTAGTGGATTTCTCCTCTGCAGTGAAAGTTGCTCATCAACAGATGTCACTAAATTATCTAGCTTTGAAGCTGCCCTCAGAACCAGTGACAGCACTAGCAGAAAATTTGATTCAGCCTCTGAATTTATGTATTTACAGATGGTACTAATCTTTGCATCATAAGTAGCAATCACAGAAATTGGAACACAACCACTGAGGCGACCCTCTCTTTGCAATGCTGCTCTGAAGTGGCCACTAAGTGGATGAAGAGATGAAAGGAACTTCGTCGATGCCAGCGAAAAGCAGATGAAAAAAGAGGGAAAGAGAGACAAGAAAAGTCTGTCAGAAAATAAAACTGTGGACAGAAAAAAAAATGAAAAAAATTCAGAGAGA